GCAATTCCACTCCTAGTTATATACACAAACAACTTGATAACAGGGACTCAAACAGATACTTGTAATTCATTGCTGCATTTTTCACAATAATCAAAAGGTAGAAACAACTCAAGTGTCTGTCAATAGATGGATAAACAAAATATATATACATATAATGGAATATTTTTCAGCCATAACATGTAATGAAGTTTTAACATATGCTACAATATGGATGAACATTGAAAACATTATGCTAAGTGAAATAAGCCAGAAATAAAAGGATATTGTATAGTTCCACTTATATGAAATATCTAGAATAGATAAACTCATAGAGACAGAAAGTAGAGGGGCTGGAGAGAGTCTGGAATGGATTATTTAATGGATAGAGTTTACATTGGGAGTGACGAAAAAGTTTTGGGTATAGATAGTGGTAACGTTTGCACAACATTTTGAATATAATTAATGCCACTCAATTGAACACTTAAAAATGGTTTAAAAAAAAACTAGGCAGCTGACCCTTGGGCTCTAATTTACTAACCCATGGCCTAGAATATTACCTATTTTGGATGATATTCCATGTGTGCTTAAAAAGAGTGTATATTCTGCTGTTGTTGGGTGAAGTATTCTACAAACGTCAGTGATTATTGCTCTCTCTCTCTCTTTTTTTTTTTTTTTGGTGACAAGGTCTTGCTCTATTGCCCAGGTTGAGTGCAGTGGTGCAGTAATAGCTCACTGCAACCTCCACTTCCTGGGCTCAAGCCGTCCTCCCACCTCAGCTTCCTGAGTAGCTGGGACTAGAGGTGCATGCCACCACACCCAGCTAGTTTTCCTTTTTTTTGTAGACATAAGGGTCTCACTATGTTGCTTAGGCCGGTCTTGAACTCCTGGGCTCAAACAGGAGCCTTGGTTCCTCCAGCCTTGGCCTCCCAAAGTGCTGGGATCACAGGCATGAGCCTCCATGCCCAGCCTTAACAGTGTGTTTTCTCCAGAAATTTATTACACACAGGCCGGGCGCGGTGGCTCAAGCCTGTAATCCCAGCACTTTGGGAGGCCGAGACGGGCGGATCACGAGGTCAGGAGATCGAGACCATCCTGGCTAACACGGTGAAACCCCGTCTCTACTAAAAAAATACAAAAAACTAGCTGGGCGAGGTGACGGGCGCCTGTAGTCCTAGCTACTCGGGAGGCTGAGGAGAATGGCGTGAACCCGGGAGGCGGAGCTTGCAGTGAGCTGAGATTAGGCTACTGCACTCCAGCCTGGGCGACAGAGCGAGACTCCGTCTCAAAAAAAAAAAAAAAAAAAAATTTTTTTACACACAATCTTTGGCCCAAAGAGAGCAACAAAATTCTTTGGGATTGTTTGTGTCACAACAATGGATCACTCTTTGTCTTAGAGTTGCTCAAATGGTAGAATTAGAACAGTGTGCACATATCCTAAGTCCATCCTCATTCGCAGGGGATATTTCTCTAGCAAGCAAAACTTTGCCCAGGAAGAAGCCTAGGATGGCCAGCCCAGGCTATCACAGGAGCCAGTGGCCTCCTAAGTCAGGCTGTTGAGTACATGGCTTCATGGTCCTCTGTGCCAAAATCCCAACTAGATCTATGGAATCCCAATATGCCAGTAGTATTCATTCATTAAATAGTCCATTAAATATAAGTGACCACCTACTGTGTGCCTGGCAGTGTCAGGCAATGGAGATTCAACAGTAAACAAACAAGACTTTTAAAATATAAATGTCCTTTTAATACCATGCTGTGTTTTGAAAGCTTTTATTTCGTATTGGGCTTTTTGATGCTAAGGCAATATGATCTTGGTAGGTAGGGCAGAACCTTTATTTCCCTGCAGGGTACACAGTGAAATGATACACCATTTCTCTCCTAGGAAATGAGATATGTGGAGATCATCAGCTTGTTTGTCATTAGATATGGTAGAACTATATTGGATAACCAGTGTTCTCTTAACTAAGGTCCTGACGAGCTATTCACCCACTCCCTCTCCGCACTTCTCTCTCCATCAACCCCCACACTTTCACATTAGGTCAAAAATTGTTCGGGTGATGACAGCTTCTATAGGTACAAGGAAGGTAGGGTTGAGAGAGAAATCTACCTCTGATCAATACAGCTGCATCATCATCATAAATAATTTAATCACTTTCTCTGTTTTTAGTTTCTTTGATCTGCTTCTCTCATCATGCCTGGTTGTGTTACTGCCATAAAAGTTTGCTCTTTGAGAGGATGAAGAACCTTCTAGTCATACCCCAGTCATCATCCTGGGGCAAAGATCCACTTTGTATTACTCCTCCTGCCTAATGCCTCATAGCTAAGCATCAACGTTTTTTACCATCCTGAAGGTTCCTGGTTTCTTCTTTGAAATGTTCTAAACCAGAAATAAATGAAGTTTCTTATTAGGCTGACCCTAAGAGCTATCATCCTGTTGTTCTTTATTTATTTTAGAAGATTGCTTATTTTGTGGGTATAGAGGGAGGCAAGCTAGAGAGAGGAAGAGGGATACTTTATAGCATCTCAGATTCAGTTCGAGTATTACTTTTAGGGGCAATGAGTGAGGAGATAGGGTATATTAGGAGGTAGTAATTAGTATAGGGTTGGCTACTGTCTGATGATCAAACATGGAGTTCATTGGCTCTAGCAAAATGATAAATCAGGTCTATTTTTCTATTTTGCCACTAACACATATTTTAAAAATCGTCTTGCTGTGCCAGGGTTCCTCAATAAAAGGCACAGCTCTTATCTCCATTAAATTGAAATTTAAAATGTTAATAACACCAATATATGCTACTGACTTATTGATTAAACTGAGTATTTGGTAGAGCTTGAGCACTGTTGTTCTAGCTCTACCAAAAAGAGGAAAATATCTGGGAAGAAATTCACAAAGTAGAAAAAAGGTGCTAAGAAAGGAGTCTATACACATCACACATATACACACATCTATAAACACACACACACACACACACACACACACACAAATAACATTGACTTTGAGGAGCAGGAAGGACAAGTTCTTGGCAGAGAGGCCGGCATCTTTTCATCTGTCCCTAAATTACACACTGATCAGCCAATGCAAGGAGGGGAGCTGTGATTTGTTTGTTTGTTTATTTATTCATTTATTTATTTATTTGAGATGGAGTCTCACTGTGTCACCCAGGCTGCAGTGCAGGGGCATGATCTTGGTTCACTGCAACCTCTGCCTCCCGGGTTCAAGCGGTTCTCCTGCCTCAGCCTCCTGAGTAGCTGGGATTACAGATGGCTGCCACCACTCCCAGCTAATTTTTGTATTTTTAGTAGAGACAGGGTTTCACTATGTTGGTCAGGTTGGTCTCAAACTCCTGACCTCGTGATCCCCCCGCCTCAGCCTCCCAAAGTGCTGGGATTACAGGTGTGAGGCACTGCGCCTGGTCACTTGTTTTTAAATCACCTTTTTCTGAGTAAAATCAAGGCCACAAAGGGGAAAGTATGTTGAGAATTGTATTTGTTAACTGATTTTCTGCCTAAAAAAAAAATAACTACCATATTCTTCTCCTACAGAGCTATCTTTTTCCAAGTCTTGGTGTTCTTGATGCTTCCCTTCTCATGGACTCTGCTTTCCTTCAGTAACTTCTTTTCTGAATCCATATTTGATATGGAGGCTTCTGTGTCTTTTGTGATTTGAAGTGAATATACTCTATTTTAAGGACTCAAACCACTTTTGTGGCTCCTTTCCCCAATGCCTACAACATTTAAGCACATCTCTGACTGGTGCTCTGCAGCTCCTAGGTGTTCTGAAGTTCCTCCCACAGCTCTGTTGGCTGTGCACTCTGGCAAACAAAGATGAAGAGCTCAATAGTTTGAAAGGCTTGTCTAGGGTCAGAAGGTAATCAGAATTAATAACAGACCAAATATAACCCACAACAGCCCAGCCACAGCCTGAGGCTCTTTTTCTGAATTTATACCTCTTCATTTACTGTGACATGCATGGTTTTGAATGCTATCAGGGAAAATATTTTTATTATATTTTCCGTTGCAGAAGAATCTTCTACTATGATTTTCTTCTCAACACATTTCTGGAATGCAGTAGCAATATTTATAAATATTCCCTTAGAGAAACAATATGGATACATTAATATAAGTGATAAGCATATTTTCTGCAAATATATCTATTTTAGCATTTCACCAGCTTGCTAGGGGAGAACTTTGTGTTTCACAAGGCATTTGTTTACTCTTGAAAAGGAAAACTGTTGACGTTTTCCTTCCAATATGCTTATCTTTAAAGATTTATAATATAAAATATTCTCAGTGTGATACGTACTTATTTGAACTATTTGAATTTCATGTAATTCCAAATGGAATTGTACCTTTCTTTTTCAGTATTCTCTTAAGACAAATTTGGTTTATCCTTATAAAAAAAAACACTTTTTATTTAACTGTAAAACTACTCATTGAGTAAGAGTAACAAGCTTTAAATAATTTGTTACATATTATCCCATTTTTTGGTTAGCAATGAAACAAAAATGACTATCAAATATAAAGTATTAATATCTAACACATATTGAGTCCAAAAAGTGTTTACTCAATGAATAAATGAACAAATGAATAAATATACTTACTTTACAATGGGAGAAACTGAGGTCAAAAGTGTTAGCCACAATCTGGTATACTATAATCCAACTAAAAACTATCTAACCATCTAATTCAAATGTTGTTTTCCCTTGTTTTATTTAGAAGACAAATGAAAGCTTTAGTACTAAATATTTTGAAAGAGAAACCTGGGAATAATGCCTTGTGGGGAGAAAAGCTTCAAATTAAAATTTCAGAATAAAAATAAGGAGAAAAATAATTTTACTCAAACACCACTTTGCCTTTCCTTTACTCTTAAATTCAAGAGTCTCAAATAACCATTTAAATACTATGAAGTTAAAGAATTTTCTTAATTATAAATCTATTGTGCTTAAGGGAAACCTGGAAGCTTTACTAAGGTTCTAATTTTTAAAATTATGTGCACCACCTTATTTATATTTTTGAAATGACTATTCCTAGTGGGAAATAAATACGGTGACACAGTTATGTCTTCACCTGCCAACCAACACCACAGTTATAGTCCAAGAAACTGTATTTTATGGTACATGGGTTCAATATTTACGTTTCCTCCTTCTTTGTAACAGAACTTTGAGAAATGTGCCCAACTTAAAAAAAAAGGGAAAAGCCGCTTTGCAGCTTTCTTTGCAGAAAGGGTTGACCAATGAGGTATCAATGGAAGTTTTTATGTCCAGCTTCTGGGAGAGCCATATTGCCCTCTCTTTCCTTTCCTTCTAACTGAAATACCGTTCTGATACCTGACATCCAACCACCATCTTGGACTACTGAGGAGAACCTGAGGATAGAAGTCATTCACTAAAATGGCTGGAGAGGAAAGAGGGAGGAGCCTGAATCTAAGGATGGTGGAGCTTCCATTCCAACTGTTGACTACCTACCTTCTATCTTCATTTACTCCAGAGACAATTAAACTATAACTTGATTAATTGATTAAACCATGTTATTTGAGTTTTCATACAACCAAGCCTAGTCACAACTAATATAGCCATGTCATAGCTATGAGACTTTTAGCAACTCATTTTTCTATACCTCAGTTTACTCATCTGTAAAAATGGACCCGGTAACAGTATTGACTCAGAGACCTGTTACAAGGATTAAATGAGTTAATATATGTAAAGAGCTTAGAATTGTAGCCAACACAGACTAAAGGCTCAGTGAATCCTCTATTGTTATTATTCACTTGTACCACCTATAATATAACACCCGCAGAATAAATGAGAAAAGGAGTATGAAGAGGAGAAATCACATTTGTTTCCCATCATCTTCTTCAGAGATGAAAGACCTGGGTAAAGAGCATAACGAAACACATAACACATCATACTTCTCAATTAAAAGCACTTTGCAGATTACAAGTCATTCTGTAAGGATACTTGAGTTGTTCTAATCCTTACCAGAGCTCTGAGATGAGGGTGCAAGTCGAAACTTGCTTGAGTCAACAGGTCATTTGCTGGCTGGTTCAAGAGCTGGAGTCCCAAGTTCACTGTTCCAATAAAGGCCAAGTTGGCTTGGTTCTAGTTCATGACCCTAGACAGTACAGTATACTTAGTTTTGGTTAATTGTCCTCTGAATAGGATTCTAAATTTAAATCGTGTGGGATAAGACATGAGGAGGTCTGAGCCATGCTCCTGAGAAACTCCAGGCATCTGCCCTCTCCTGCTGTGATTGGCTCCACCTGCCAGCAGGTGTGTGGGGGTTGTAACTAAGTCTTTTTGTTTTTTTAAAGGGAAATTTCCTGAATTTTTTCGAGAAATCTATTTTTCCCCCAGCTAATTTATTTAAAAGCCTCTGAGCCTTTGGGTCTTAACTTTAGGATGACTCCCCAGTGAGCTCTGCTCACATCTTAATTTAATAATAACAGCTAATATTTTTTAAGCAATCATTATAGGCAAGGCACCATTTTAAGTGCTTACTGATATCATCCTACTTAATCCTCACAAAACTTTGCAAGGTACTGTTGTATTTGCCTTTTAGAGATAATCACCCTGAGGCACAAATGGTGGAGTGACCTACTCAAAGTCATTAGGAGGGAAGGTGGCAGAGCCAGGTGACTCCATGGTCCTAGCCACCACCCACTACTCTTGTCTCGTATTTAAAAACTGTCCACTATCTGCCTTTACTTTTCAAGGCTCAACCACTCAGAAGGGCCTGGGTGTGTTTCTTTGCTCAGGTGCCTTTGATTGTGGTCATATTTCAATCTTGTTATTCCACATGCCAGTCTTTCATTACTCACAAAAGATAATAAAATCCCTTAGGTGATGTCTTCCACTGCATCAGCCACCCAGGTTGTTCTGTCTTCCACGCCAGAGGCTTGTTTCTTTTGGTTGGTCCTTCCTTCATCTCAGCTCACTATCAAACGCCCAGGAGAGCCTCTGGCTCGTGACTCCAAGGCCAGTTCTCCAGGACTTTTACTTCCGTAATCTTCCTCCCTTAAACCCATAATGTAGTCTAATATAAGAAAAGCTTCAAACAAATCCCAATTGAGGGGCATCCTACAAAATACCTGACCAGCACTCCTTAAAACTGTCACAGTCATCAAGAACAAGGAAAACCTGAGAAAGTGTCACCACCAAGCAGAGACATGAGAATTATTTGTAACATAGTATCCTGGATGGGATCCTGGAACAGAAAAAGGACACCAGGTAAAACCTAAGGAAATCTGAATATAGTTAACCATAATGCATCAGTATTGGCTCATTAATTGTGGCAAATGAACCATGCTAATGTAAGATGTCAATGAAAGGGAAACTGGTGCAGAACGGTTGGGAACTCGCTGTACTATATTTGCAATTTTTCTGTAAATCTAAAACTTTTCTAAATTAAAAAGTTTATTTTTTTAAAAAAGTATATGCCATGTAGTAAAGTCCTGTCCTATTTGTGAGATTCTACTGGGCTGGCTAATATACCATCTTCTTTGTAAAAACCTTGAACCAAACACATCCTTCTCTCCTCTGAAGAGCTTAGGGTACTTTATAGAAAGGGATATATGTTTTTATTGTTTCTACTGATCCAGGTGGCAACTTTTATGATTCCTGGGTTGTACAGTAATGATATCTCCCATAGGGAATGGCTTACTAAAGGTTACCAGAATGGCACCATAGCTGGGTGTGGAGCCTTGTATGGCACCTGTCCCAGTGCCATTCCAGGCTGGGCAGGAAACTGGCTCAGATGAATTCAATTCCATTCCATTCAAAAAATATTAACTAGCACCTACTATGTATTGTAAGCACTGGGAAACTATTATGTTGGTGCAAAAGTAATTGCAGTGCACAACTGCAATTACTTTTGCACAAACCTAATAAAACTGAAAAAGATTCTGTTTCCTGCTCAAGGACAGTGTGGTGTAATTGGGGAGAGACAAATATATCATTAGACAATTTCAGTACAAGAAGTTACGTATCATGGCAGATGTGTAAAAGGTGTTGAGGGCGCTTGGGAGGAAAGATACCTCACCAGGCAGGAGGTGGGTATTGAGCCCTAGGAAAAAAGTCTCAGCCTGAAGTGCAGGTGAATCCTGGTTAGGGGGAAATGTGTTTTAGTTCTGTAGGGGCTCTGCTATGTCTGATTTCTTAAGACTTGATGGCTCTTCTGAAGAGTTTACTCAATAGCAGTAGTGGGACTACATTAAAACCAGTTTTCCTGGCAGGGCATAAATCTTACTTTCAAGGCCTCAAGTTTTGTGAGAACATGAAAGCGCTTCGATATATATGAATAGCAAAATCATGGTTCAAATAACTTGGCTTACTCTTGTGCCTCTGAGGTGTGAATGGGGAAGGGAGATTTGCGCAGGATTTTGTGGACTGTAAAATATGCTGGCACTCCTCCTAGGAGGGTGGTAACGGGCCTGAATTTTCTGTTTATACCTTTAGGAGTGATTAATCATTAATCAGGACAATGGAGATTAATGCTATTTTCTTATACCCTTTGATAGTAAGGCACAGGCATTTTTTCCTTAGGCTGTGAACTAGATCTGGGGGACACTTCCTGGGTCCCTTTCCTCCCTTTGAGAAATTTAATGAGCCACATTCTCATTAGACCGCTAGGTCTAAGTTTGAGGCACTGTGCAAAGTACATTTTGCAAACATAAGAGACTTTTTTCTTTCTTTTCGGTAGTAAGTCACTGCATTAGAGAAGTAATTTCCTGATATGGAGGTTCCAAATAAATTGTCTGTGCTGTCTAAATGTTTTTCCAGATATTTTGAAATTATTTGCTCTCTTTCCATGCCATTCTCTGAGGGATGAAGAGCAGCCAGCTGTTGGGTCCTCTTCTCCTGCTTGCTGTCAGCACCACTTCCCCTTCCCTCATCCTAGGAGGTCCTTCTGTCAAAGGCAAATGCCCACAACATATCCTGAGACAGTTAACATCCTTCCCTTCATATCCACTTTCCTAAGCTAAGAAGAGTAAAGAAACTATTTGCTTGGCTTTATTCAGCACCTTGTGTCTCGCAGGCTGCAATTCTTTGGTAAATTACACCACTAATTGTTTAGCCATCAGGGAAAACTGGTCTTTTATAACATTTTCCTTTTCTGAGTCTCCCTAACACAATGAAAAGGCCCTAGTGTCCAGACAAGGATTTAAAAAGTGGAGTCTGGGGGGTAAGTTTACAATGGTTGGGGAAGAAAAAGGATACTCCACGACTGAGAAAGCTAAGCCAGGAGGGGTACTTGAGCCCAGGAGTTTGAGGTTACAGTGAGCTATGATCATGCCATTGCACTCCAACTTGGGGCAACAGAGCAAGACCCTGTACCTGTCTCCAAAAAAATAAAAAGGATACAATGCAAGAACATGATTTTTTTTTTCTTGAGACGGAGTTTCGCTCTCGTTGCCCAGGCTGGAGTGCAATGGCGCGATCTCGGCTCACCGTAACCTCTGCATCCTGGGATCAGGTGATTCTCCTGCCTCAGCCTCCTGAGTAGCTGGGATTATAGGCATGTGCCACCGTGCCCAGTTAATTTTTTTGTATTTTTAGTAGAGACGGGGTTTCTCCATGTTGGTCAGGCTAGTCTTGAACTCCTGACCTCAGGTGATCTGCCTGCTGCAGCCTCCCAAAGTGTTGGGTTACAGGCATGAGCCACCACGCCTGGCCAAGAACATGATCTTTAAAGTGGACATAGACTAGCTAGGAATTAGGAAGAACTTCTTAGTATCTTAAAAAAAAAAAAAAAAAAAAAAAAAAAAGACAGTAACTGATCAATATCTACAACTGCCCAATATCTACATTTTTGGTGGGTAAAAAGCACTGAACAACGATTTATTAGACAGTGTTCATATCAGAAGATGTTTTCTTCCATAACTTATTTTGACATGGTTTAGTGTCTCATTGCTATCACTTTATTATATAAATGACCATTAAATTACATTAAATCTTGAAAAGATGGACCTTGATTTTATATCTGGTCTGAGTGATAAGAAATGGATTTATATGCTCTCCTGCATTTTGTGAAACTGGCCACAAATCAGAGGAGTACAAACAGAATTATTTTGAAATGACTTATAAATATTATATACATTATTGTTTTTAAGAGGAAGTAATTTTCCAGCAGAAATGGCCAACAAGATTACCTGATTTCTCCAAGAAGCATGAATTGTGTATCTAACATGTACTGTGTTTACTTCCTAGAAATTAAAAAATGAGTAAATCAAAGATACTGACACCAAGAGCTCACAGACTGCTTGGGAAAATAGAGAACAAACAGAATTATGGTACAATGTGGTAAGTACTGTAATAAAGGCACACAGTCAGAACTAGGAAGTAAGAGGAAGGAAGGCTTTATAATGGGCTGGCCGCTCCTTCTGCCTAGATCTGCTGGGGCAGGTGAAGCTTGACTTTTAAATTGAGAGTTGAATGATAAGTAAGAGTTCAAAAGGGCAGGTAAAGAGAATTAATTCTAGGCTAAGAACCACCTGTGCAAAGGCAGTAGGGTAGAGAGTACAGTGCCTTCAGGTGTTAGATACTTTACTATCATTGGGTTGGAGAGAGGCAGTTACCAAAGATGAGACTGGAAGAGCAGGTAGGGCATAGATCTCCAAGGGTCTTTTAAAGCATGCCACGGAGGTAGACATTACCCTGTAGACCAACACTTCTTAAATTTTAATGCTCATATGACTCATTTGGGGACTTGTTAAAATATAGATGCTAGCTGGGCACAGTGGCTTGCACCTGTAGTCCCAGCTACTCAGGAGGCTGAGGCAAGAGGAGTGCTTGAGCCCAGGAGTTCAAGGCTTTATTACACTATGATCATGCCTGTAAACAGCCACTGCACTCCAGCCTAGGCAGCACAGATAGGTCTCACGTGGGGCCTGAGTGTCAGCTTTTCTAAAATGCCCCAGATGATGTGCTGCTACAATAAAGCTGGTCTACAGACCGTGTGATAAGTAGCAAATATTTACAAATTACAAATTCCATTACCTGAAATGAATTCTATGTACTAAGACATACCTTCAGCCCTTGAGAGGAACTGGGACACGATTCAACTAGAGCTTCCAGGATGGTGAATTCTGCATATAAGTTGCCTCCTGGGTTTACTGTGGGTGCCCTACAAATGCAATACTTTTTTCCTACATGTTCTATGATGTGAAGATAGTGGGGAAGCAACGTAACACAAATAATCCAGTCAGTACTATAAGAACCACAATTGGCTTTTTTGGCTGCAGGGTGGAGTGCAAACAGTCCCAGTTACCCAATGCAGCTGATATTCATTGTCAGCATTGCCCAGAGCCTTTTCCCCCCAGCAGTAATCATTTGGAGGTTGAAATCTTGGCTCCAGTTCACCTCTGCAGTGGGACTTAATTCATGCCAGACTGTGGTGGTTTCTGTAGCAGTCCAACTCTGCCAAGGCTCAAAGTCCAAAGATTCTCTCATGCAGTGGCAGCAAAGGAGGAGCAGAATTAAAACATAAAACTCTTGTTCTATGACCTTTCAGCTATTATTGTTTAATTATTTTTATGAGATTATAAGTCATTTTGCCAAGTCACTCCTTAGCCCTTTTTCAAAATATGACAATGATTATTAACTTGGTCTCTTTTCCTAATAACCTATAATAGATATTTGGAATAGAAAAATGTCAGACTGTATCAAATGAAAGACATTTGAATTTCTGTGGAGTCAGTTGGTCTTTAGGTTAACATTGTATATAAGTATGTGTGTAGGAACACAGTCACACATATGAGATTGTACCAGCAGGTCAATTTCTAGAAAAGAAACTGCTCACAGGTGTTGCCTCTGGAGAGAAGTGGGGAATGGAAGAAGAGTCAGCTCTGCGAGATCTTCTAGGCAATAGTACTTCTTTTATTCTGTTTTAAATTTTTTTTCTAATATGATGGCTTAACTTAAAAAACACAAAAAAAAAAAAAAAAAAAGAAAAAGAAAGAACTGTCTCAATGACTGAAAAGTATGATAATACTTGCAGGTTTGGGTAATATAATCCCTTTCCTCTGGGTCATCTAGTATTGAGACTCTTTTTGTACTGTGTTTAAGGGGAAAAGATTAATGGCTTTACGTCTGAAGTTTAAGCCCAGGTTGCTAAATTACCTACAGTTGGTTAGTAAGGAAATCAATTTTTGAAATAAAAAAATTCCCCGTAAGAATTTTTTCAATTGTTTCCTCAGTTGATTTTTGCCCTCTCTTTAGACAATAGTGAAACATAATATAAGATGCAGCATTACAAAATGAAAAGAATTGGAGGGAAAAACATTTGCTTTAAATGCAGTCAAGTATCTTCATTGATTCCCCTCTCTCCACCTTCTCTCTCCCCCAACTATAATATCATAGAACACTGAAGGGAAGCACATTCCAGACACATGCTGTATAGACTAGCAACATTTAATTGATAACTTACACTATGCTATTATAAATTTATAAGCCTAGAAGAAGCATTATTCCATAAATACTATGAGTATTAAACATTCAACAGTCATAACCCAGTTTGCAATCTCCTATGACTTACATAAAATTTCATCTCAATAAATTGCAGTGAAAATAGATGGCAGACAGGAGGGTAGGACTAGATTGCAGTTCCGACTCAGAACAGCATGCAGAGGCTCTCACAGTGAATTTTAGCTCCAGAATGACTGTAAGAACAAACCAGAAATCCAGAGAGGACCCATAGAACCTCTGAAGAAAATAGACTGCTCCTGCAGGACCCAGGAGACATCCAAATAATGTGCTGGTATCCATGGCTGAGAGATCTATTGACAGTTCACATTGCAGGACTCTGTGAAGACAACCCCAAGTACCAGCCTGGAGCTGGGTAGACTTGCTGCATGGCTAGACCTGGAAGACAGATAACAATCACTGCAGCTCAGCTCACAGGAAGCCACATCCACAGGAAAAGGGGAAGAGTACTACATTAAAGGAATACCTCATGGGACAAAAGAATCTGAACAATAGCCTTCAGTTCTAGACTTTCCCTCTGACAAAGCCTACCCACATAAGGAGGAACCAGAAAAACAACTCTGGTAATATGGCAAAACATCTCTGCTAATATGACTCTTTAATATCCCCCCAAAATCACACTAGCTCATCAGCAATGGATCCAAACCAAAAATGTACCTGATTTACCTGAAAAAGAATTCAGGAGGTTAGTTATCAAGCTAATCAGGGAGTCATCAGAAAAAGGCAAAGCCCAGGGGCCAGGCAAGATGGCCGAATAGGAACAGCTCCAGTCTCCAGCTCCCAGCGCGAGCGACACAGAAGACAGGTGATTTCTGCATTATCAACTGAGGTATTGGGTTCATCTCACTGGGGAGTGCCGGACAATCGGGGCTGGTCAGCTGTTGCAGCCCGACCAGCGAGAGCTGAAGCAGGGCGAGGCGTCCTCTCACCTTGGAAGCGCAAGGGGAAGGGAATCCCTTTTCCTAGCCAGGGGAACTGAGACACACAACACCTGGAAAATCGAGTAACTCCCACCCCAATACTGAGCTTTAAGCAAAGGGGCACACCAGGAGATTATATCCCACACCTGGCCAGGAGGGTCCCACGCCCACGGAGCCTTCCTCATTGCTAGCACAGCAGTCTGCGATCTGATCTAACCGCAAAGCAGCAGCGAGGCTGGGGGAGGGGCGCCCACCATTGCTGAGGCTTAAGTAGGTAAACAAAGCCCTGGGAAGATCAAATTGGGTGGAGTTCACAGCAGTTCAAGGAGGCCTGCCAGTCTCTGTAGACTCCACCTCTGGGGACAGGGCACAGCTAAACAACAACAACAACAAGAACAACAACAACAACAAAAAGCAGCAGAAACCTCTGCAGAATGCAAGCGACTCTGTCTGACAGCTTTGAAGAGAGCAGTGGATCTCCCAACACGGAGGTTGAGATCTGAGAATGGACAGACTGCCTGCTCAAGTGGGTCCCTGACCCCTGAGTAGCCTAACTGGAAGACATCCTCCACTAGGGGCAGACCGACACCCCACACCTCACACGGTGGAGTACACCCCTGAGAGGAAGCTTCCAAAGCAAGAATCAGACAGATACACTTGCTGTTCAGCAGTATTCTATCTTCTGCAGCCTCTGCTGCTGACACCCAGGAAAACAGGGTCTGGAGTGGACCTCAGGAAATCTCCAACAGACCTAGAGCTGAGAGTCCTGACTGTTAGAAGGAAAACTAAGAAACAGGAAGGACACCCACACCAAAACCCCATCAGTACGTCACCATCATCAAAGACCAGAGGCAGATAAAAACAAAAAGATGGGGAAAAAGCAGGGCAGAGAGGCTGGAAATTCAAAAAATAAGAGCGCATCTCCCACTCCAAAGGAACGC